TTCCATAGGTGAGAGTCGGGACGTAGATTCTATAAAAGCACAAGGACATGCCTCAAATATGCCTCTGCAAGACTTGTCCATGTTATCTAATTGTCTTCTTGCATATGAACTGTAACCATTAACGTTACTGTTTAAACTTCTTTTTAGAAGATTTAAAAAGACAGGCAAAGACAGTGAAAGTTTAGTGTCCAACCAAGGATGTATGGCTGACAAAATGAACAACACAAAACACTCACACAGCTGATATTACTGTACGACCCCCTCAAGTATGTAAATAGGGAGCAAAAACACAGAAACACCACTAGATAAGTCCAAAAACTGAAACGCTATTAGCTTCATAAGCACAGTGGGACTAGATTAAAAACAACTGTACAGGCAAACCTTATAAAGAGCTAATCACCTTTATTAATAAAGGTGATTATAAAGAGCTTGGTGAGTGTATGATGCATGCAGCACAGTCAACACATTAGTTGTTGGGATGCTGACTGAGGCTTTGTGTTGATCTGTTCATAATGACCCGTTTCCAGGTCCCTGAAGTGGCTAAAGGACCATCACCAGGTGTGTATGGGTAACAAAATAAGTCCCCACGGGGATAGGGTGATAGAAGAACAACAGCACAGGAGCACTATCAGTTTCCTCACATCTTTTCAGCTTTCAGTCCTGATCTGCCGCAGAGATTCTAGGTCAGTAGTGGCTTTTTTAAAGATATGAAATGAGCCTCAGAGGAGTTGGGTGCTTCATAATAGGGCCTATAATGGTGTCCAACACTCTAAAAGAGGTTCTTTTGAGATATTATATACTTGGATAAGTAAAAAAAAAAGCATGATGGTAACTAAACATGCAGGTTGTTGGTAAGATATCCATACTCTTTAAATGTCCTAATCTCAAACTAGACAGGTAAACGGCTTGCTGTTCATGTCTTCTTGGAAATACAGAGGCAGTGAGTTATGTTACAGCTATGAGAAACCAGACTGTTTGATGCTTGAAATAGCCTATAATAGCACCCTGTAAATGGTAGGAGAACAATCTTCTCAGTACAAATGCAGAGTGGCAGCTGATGACAGTAAAGATTAAATACAGTGGGGCAAATAAGTATTTGATACACTGCCGATTTTTAGGTACCTGAGATTTGATTATAACTTGTATTTTATTTATATATGTATCCAGCAATAACTAATGAAACTGTGGTTTTAACAGCTAATCAATGTTACAATAAAAGATAGGACAAACTGTCATTAATTAGCAAATGTAAATGTGGGAGGAGTTTGAGGGCTATAGCCCCCTCCTGTACAGAGGCCCCACAATCCCTACCTACACCCCTGCTACACTGAATCATCCTCATTATAGAAAGCATGGTGTCTGGGTGGGCTTTAAATCTCATTTTTAAGCCCTTATGAAAACCTACACAGATCTGACCGCATTCCACGAACATGCAACATAATCAGCCAGCCAGCACTTTTTTTTTAGGCTGACAAGAGGCCAGCTCACTGCCAGATCGTGATTGAAATTCTCCCAGAACAAAAACTCACTTGTGTGATTACTGTTCAGCAGACTCCAGTGAAGCAACAATCCATTCCACATGATGCACTTATTGTTTTCAGCCAAACAGGCACCAGGCCCCATAGTAACCACAGCTACTGTACAATGACTCTCACCAAAAACCACAGAAAGCCTGACATTTAGGAGGGTCTGATACAAATAAATGCAATATCCCACTTGGTAGGCCATATTACTGTATTACTGGTGGTACATCTTCATTAGACTTTAAAATGTAGCTTTCTATTTGGGGGGTAATATTTAAGTTTCAACTGATTATTAACACAAGCTGGTTAGACTCTATTACATAGAGGAAAATTAATTCAATACATCCGCCATAAATGCAGTACCGGGAAACGATGTAACCCACCATAGGGACTTCATCAAAATATGCATCAAATTAGGTTATTAGCTTAAGTCACCTTTCAACAGGTGGCGAAGCGCAAACAGGGTGCACGCCAGCAACTACGGCCACACAATGACAACAAAACCCCCTGAGAAGCAAAGTGTTGAGGAGTTAATACAGTATCTGACACAGTGGTGCTGCTCACCTCTATCCATTTCTGCGCTTCCTGAAACGCGGAATCAGCGGCCGAGCCCGTCACTGGCTGGTGCTGGTGGGACTGTCCTTTGGCTTGCCTCGTCTCTCATAGTCAGTATGGTAAAAAGTACGGGGTACAACAGCTTGCTCTTCCTTTTGTATTTTTCTCAGGCATCTTAAGAGTGCAACTGAGAAAATACAGAGGAGCCAGAAAAGGACTGATTTCTCTGTGCAAACGTGTCTGTGCCTCCAACATCCGTATCAGATCTTACGTCTGTGCAGATTCTCAGTCATCCAGGTCAAAGTAAACTGAAAAAACTTGTGAAAAACCACATCACTCTGTTTATGTCTGGGTGTTTGTCTGAATGTAGAAGTATATCGGAAACCTACACACACGGACCAATACCTGCTTTTTGACTCACACCATCCACTTCAACACAAACTGGGAGTCATCAGAACTTTAAATCACAGGGCAGAGAAAGTGCCCACAACTGCAGAAGGGACCACGAAGGAGAAATTACATCCAGAACTCCCTTAGGGCTTGTGGATACCCTAGGTGGGCCTTCACCAAAGCAAG